CCCATACTGGCAGAGCCCATAACCGGTCAGCCTTATGGTTATGCCTTGACAAGACAAGCCTCCGGCAAAACCGTTCAGCGAATAGCAGATTGGCAAACACGGTGTCCTGGCGCACCAATGCAAATGCATGCAAAGAAACTCACAAGTTGTAGTCAAAACAGATATCATGAGTTCGAGTCAAGTTCTCCAACTCCCACGCAGAGTCGCCAGAAATTGTAGACCGTCCCGAACGCCCTGGGAGGGATGAGTCCCGTTCTGTTCGTTTGGACTCTCAAATTGGTCGCGGTTCTTAAATCTGAACCAAAGAGTCTAAATCCGGCAAAATCGTTTTGAGAAAACAGATTTTGAAAGAAGTGCCAAACATGACTGCTTTCCAGATACAAGAGTCGCCACCTAAATATTTATTTTTGGAAAATTTAGGAAACCCTGACTCGTTGCCTAAGGCCACGTGTCCTCATCACCAAAGTTGCCTCGGCTCGGGAACTTGGGTACGATTGGGGAAGGTCACTTCGTGAGCACCCCCGCTCGCTCTGATTAAAGATCGGCCTCTATAACCATGATATCTATTTTTGAGGACATTATGCGTTCTTATTCCGGTTATTAGCCCTAGATTTACTACGTGATGCGCACGGACATACAAGTATAGACTGGATGCTTGAATTGGAAAAAACGTTTCATGTTTGTTTATTTGAAAATGGTTTGATGGTGCACCCGCAAGTAGGCTAAGACGTGGATTTGCCACCCTCAGGTGGGCTTAGAAAACATGATTTGCCACTATCTAGTGGGTCTTAAAACTCACAATAAATGATTTGTTCCAATCAAAATAACCCAACTTCACCCACAGGCATTCAGGCAGTTATATCACATATAGCACATAGCCTCATGGTAGCATGCTATCTGGCAGTCACTCAACATACATGCAAGGATGCTAAAGCATAAAAACTTACCGAGTACTCCAAGCCAAACAGAAGCTAATTAGAAATTCATGCATGATCCTAACTATACAGAAATAACCTAATGCAACGCATGCAAAATGCAACTATAGCAGACTCGCTATTCTAACATGGCATATGAAATGTACAGCTAACATGTATTCAACTTGAAATTGAAAAATACAATGCAGTTAGTATGATGCACACGAGCCCGGTGCATGCAAAATAGATGAATGAATGCCAAACATGCTATCATACTGTATGCTAATTGAAACATGCCCTAATCTAACCATCATAACGGGTAAATAAAAAGGAGAAAGACGTGGGGTTGGAAGACATACATTACACACACGCACACATTATTATATGTTGTGCCCTCGCTCGAGCGTCCGAATAATTAAATACAGTCCCAAATGAATAATTACAGTCCAAAATGTACAAAACCTAATTAATTAACAAATTAAATTAGGAAAGCAATAAATTGGCGTGCAAGCCAAGGACTGCCTCAAATCTGCTCCGGATGATGAATGATGGCATGCTCGGGTTGCCTTTGTTCGGAAAATTTCTTGGGATGCCCGGTTTGCCTATGTTTGCAATTGTTCTTGGATGCGTGCCAGGCTCCGGAAAGGTTTGCTGATTTTTTATTTGTGCAACAGAGAGCAACAAAGGGGCATGCGCAAGTATTTTCACATATGTATGCATGACTACTCTTCAAGAAGTGTAGTCCTTGATCATAGTTGCCACCAATCACGCATATCGATGCATGATGGCCGAGGAGTCGAATTGCATGGCTCAATATGAAATGAATGCACATATAAACCAAACAAGACCTAAACTCCATCATGGATAATTCGGAGTAATGGTAACTGGGAATTGAGACACGTTCTGTCACTCGAAGTACTACGAAACGTCCCTCGTTTCCCGTGCTCAGGCTAACTTTATCCCAAACACAATGTAATATGCATGACATGCATGAATGCAACTAATACGCAACCTAGCATGCACAATGCTATGAAATGGCATACATGATGCACGAGGTAACATGGCATACACAATGCGCTAACATACAACCTAGCATACACCAAGGCTATGAAAGGTGAAATGGCATACACAATGCACAATGGACTTACACCAAACCACTACCAACAAAAAAAGGTCTATGGTGACTGAAAACGCATGACGAAAAAATATTTCGTCTCCAAATACTACATGTTTTAGTGATGAAAAATAAGATTTCGTCCTCCAATTGTAACATTTTTAGAGACGAAAGCCAATTTCGTCACCAAATGCTTAAAAGCAAATAAAAATTGGTGACAAAAAATTTATTCGTTCTCTAATTTTATTTTTCGTCACAAAAACAGTTTCTTCACCCTGGGAAAATTTGGCGGAAGATTTGGACCGATTTTGGAGACGAAATTTTTCGTCCACCATTTGTAAAAAATTTTAGAGAGGAAATAATTTCATCTCCAACTGTATTATTTTTAGAGAAGGAAAATTAAATTTCGTCACCAAATGCTTAAAATCAAAAAAAAAAAAAAAAAATTTTGAGCCAACAGATAGATATCTCTACTGTTTAGATGCATGATGTATTTTACTTTCTATATCTCTCTGTCAACTCCTCATCCATTCATCCTCCGTCACATCG